AGAGAGAGAGAGAGAGAGAGAGAGAGAGAGAGAGAGAGAGAGAGAGAGAGAGAGAGAGAGAGAGAGAGAGAGAGAGTGATCGAGAGAGAGAGAGAGAGAGAGAGAGTGTGATCGAGCGAGAGAGAGAGTGTGATCGAGAGAGAGAGAGAGTGTGATCGAGCGAGAGAGAGAGGGAGAGAGAGAGCAAGAGCGAGAGAGCGAAAGAGAAAGAATGAGAGAGACAACGAGGGAGAGCGAACGCGGCGATGAGAGGGTGCTCTTGATTCGTTTGCCAGTGAGTTTAGCATCAGAACACCTGCCGTCAGGTGAGCGCTGTCGCTCTGCGGCACTTGTTTGGTTATACTTTGGTTGTAATAGATTACAATTTTGGTTTGCCCACCTCTCCATGCACCTTAGTTATTCCCTTTGTCACTGTTTAACCATATATATAAGTTATAACCAACTCCACTTGTAGTAAGCCTATAAATTTAAAGGGACAGTAGCCTCTAGGATTTTACTGCATACAACTGTACTTACTGTATAACAAATCATCTATACCGACACGTATTTGTTACCAGATACCTAATTTAATTGTTATAATTAATTACACATCAATGCTACGAAATTTGAACGGCGCCATGACACCTGCGACCGTGCTGCCACCCCGAAAAAGTTGCGTATTTGACAATTTATTTTGCATGTTACAGACCGAGGACTAATCACAAAAGTGCAATTATATTTATACCTAAATGCTATTTAACCTAACGATATTTATTTTAGGGCAAATTTATCCATATTATAACTGAAACTATATGTCGTTTATAAGATATTACAATTCTTTTGCTTTTAAATGAATAAATAAGAAACACCCTCGGTCTGTAGCCCTTGGCTGGAAAGTGGGTTTGTGCAACTTATCAGATCGTGCGCTTTGAGTGGCGCCACCGTCGTTGTAATCAAACTGTAGACGTTAGTTTTAAAACATTAAAAAAAAATATTTCTAATGGCGATTGAACCATGAAACTTTTTATGTAGCGTAATTATAACCTAAATTAGCTGAAAATAACCCTGGAACCTAGAGTAAACTCTCCCTTTAACTATATTGTAATGAGTGTATAAAATTATATATTTGCTCATGTGTTTCTGTGTGATATCTTGACTGAATACTATTTTAGAGCATGGAGGAACTGATCAGCAAGACTATCCCAGCAAACATCAGACTAGGCCGAGAACTAGACCTGGAACCAGCTCTGGGTAGGTGGAGTGAAAACCGATTAATTAGTGCTTTAGCCTAATAGGAAATCAGTGTTGTAAAAGTAATGTGTCTACACGTTGTGCAGGTACATATTTTTACATTGCCATCCAAAAAAGGTAAAATATTTATGTTTCTGCTAAACATTTACTGGTTTTGCATGAAGCATATATCTCACAGTGCATAACATATTTACCACGGCTGATTTATCATCATTATGTAATACCAATTAAGTTTGTGTGCATGGTGAGTTTAATGACTCTCTTAGTTATAGTTTATAAACTGTATGATGGAATTTAAATTCAATTTATAAAGAAGTCCCAAGAACATAAAATATGGTGTTATATTAATTGTGCGTAAAATCAAAACACTTCATCACAAATGTTTTAATTATATATTTTTACATTTTTTGTTTGTGGTAAATGTTCAAAAAATCTGTATTCCTATCAGATCATGACAAATACCAGACTAGGTTTCTCTGTGGTTATTTTACAGGAATATGTTAAATTATTTCTAGAGCTACACTTGCATATATATATATCAGTTCAAATTATTGAGTGCCAGCCCACTGAACTTGTGGCATCAATTCAGTTAAAATGCTTGTGAATGTTCACAGATTCACATTTAGACATAGGAAATTTGAACTAATGATATAGGTATAGCTAGTTGTTGTTAAATTCAGAGACAGATCTCCACATGAAATTGATGATTGAACCTTTTGTCATAAAATCTCGTGTATAAGCCCCATGTATGGACATGTTTGTGTTTGGCACATCTAAAGTTTACAAAAACTGCTTGGCCAAACACATTTGCATGTACATATATGTAATGTTATATTTCAGGAAGCTTCATTTTATGCAGTGTATAATAATTTACACATGTGCCAAATAGGAGTGGTTATTTCAATGTTTGCAATCTAGTTCAAGATGGAAATATGCATGATTATCTATATATATATAAGATAATATTTTGTCTGTTGGTGTTCTTGCTTGTATTGTTATATTGTTGTATTGTTCCCATGTTGACTATATATGGAAACGAGCTTATAGTGCAGTGGCCGAGACCCAAAAAATTAAGTGCACCCCTACCGGAGGTATAACAAGCTGGGCCTGGTATCATTTTAACCGTCTGGATCTCTAGTTTATGAAAAGCCATGTTGTAGTTGCAGCAACCTTGTACAACATGCCGAATTAACCCTTTGTTTAGGGTAACATCTGAAAAAATGGCATTTTCAGTTACTTGCTTATTTTATGAAATCAGCCCCATTATATTTTATAATTGATGGTTATATCAATGTATTTCATTGAAATAGATATGTAGCAATGTATTTGAGGCAGTTTTATGCTGCTAAGGGGGTTAAGGGGCCAAAATTATACCCCAAATTTGGCATTTTTTGGCGATTTCGACCAAAATAATGTATATTTTCTTGCACTACTAAACCAATACATGTTATCACTGTGTCAGATCTGACTGTATTCATGGGCCTAGATGTGCTATTGATAAAAAAATTAGTTTCAGCATGGTAAACGGGTACAACATGCCAGGTACATTAACCCCTTGTTTGCGACAGACCTTAAAACTACTTTTTCAGTTTACTTGCATATTTTATCAAATGAGCCGTGCAGATGTTTAATTTAATTAGAACTGATGGTTATATCAATGTTTTTGATTGAAATATAGATGAAGCAATGCATTTTAGGCAGTGCTATGCTGTTAAGGGGGTTAAGGGCCCAAAAATATACCAATAAATCTGGCAATTTTTGATAATTTTGACCATAATAAAGAACGTAAATAATAAACATAATAACCATATCCGGAGGGAGCGAGCGGGAGGAAGAGAGGGAGAGGGAGAGAGAGAGAGAGAGAGAGGGAGAGGGAGAGAGAGAGAGGGAGAGGGAGGGAGGAAGACAGACCGAGTCAGAGACAGACAAACAGAAGATAGGCAGGCAGACATAGAAATTGAGAGAGAATGCGACATAAAAAGTGAAAGACGGAAATGGGATCCAAGGGAAACAGTTGATGCAACGAGGTCAACTATCTGCGAGAAAATATTTTTCCTGCATATCTAATGTGAATGCTTTAGACAATTGCTTTATTGGTCCTTATAATGTTTTCTGATTCCCTATATTAGCCCTATATTGTAGAAAAAAAGACCTTCCGCCAAGTTATCAGGAGACCTGTCCTTTCACGTCATGGCGCGTGCCGACGTCGCGTTTCGACAACATATGTGCCTACAGTCACAGCACAAAATGGAAAGTCGTCGCTACTATGGCTCTCCCTTATACTCACCCACAGCCGTTCAAGCTGACGGTTGGTGGAGAGTGAGAAGGTGGTAGAGAAGCATGCTGTAACGTCATCACGATAGCACCCTCTAGCACACTGTTAAGGATAAAATTCTAACAGTGATGCAGGTAATTACTATCGTCAACGTCAGCAAACAACAGCTGCACTCGGAAAGTAAAGAGCAAAAGCTTCACGGTTCTGACCGCCCTCTACTAGAGTCGAACTCGCGATCTCTAGTAGACAGCAGCGGTTTTCTATACATTAGCTGCACCTGTAATGAACGTATTTACGCTCATATATATGTACGTGTGTACTCTCGAGTGCTGTGTGTGTGTGTGTCCCGTGACCGTATAATGTAGACCTGCACCCCAAAGATTCTCGCTTGGTGCGGGTAATTATGAATTAATTACCCTGAGGGTAGCATGAAATAATAGACAGACTCTTTGTGTACGTATAACATATATATATATATATATATCTATTTTCCTTATTCCCAACACCCTAATCAATCATACAAGGTTTCGTCGTGTTAGTAAGACAACAATACGCTTCGCAGCGTTTCTTAAATAAGTGGTTAGTCACACAAGATCCGGTCCCGTCGAAAATACTGTCTCTTCAGACGTTCAACGTAACGTTTACCAACAGGGATTGTCAACAGTGTTTACCAACAGAGTTTAATCAACAGCGTTCATCAACAGCGTTTATCAACGTTTATCAACAGAGTTTGTCAACGCTTATCAGCGGAGTAGTACTATAACTACAATACACACAATACTAGTATAACACTGCAATACGATAAGACAATCCTGTTAATACTTACGAGACCGGAACAGTGGATCGATGTGTTCTCTAACAGCGAGTTGGTCTCTTTTTATACTTTTTCTACAGGTAGTTAGCTCGCTATGTGACGTCACCAAACATGCAGACTAGTGCTGTGCGTCGGAACCCGATAATCCGAATCCGATCCGATCCGAATCCGATCCGATCCGAATCCGATCAGATCCGAATCCCGATTCGGATTCGGATTGCCGGGATCGGGAGAGAGGTGTGCGTGTTTGTGTTGTGTGTATGACAGAGAGAGAGAGAGAGAGAGAGAGAGAGAGAGAGAGAGAGAGAGAGAGAGAGAGAGAGAGAGAGAGAGAGAGAGAGAG